TTATTGGGTGTCCATTATGTGCTAGGATAGCACACAGTACTGCATATACTCTCTCAGTCACTGCTGAGCACCAAACTGTCAGCTAGGTAATATATACATTACAGTTAATAGTATTCCATGACATGTGGGAAAACCAATGCACAGAAATATCAAAGAACTTTGCTAACCACCAACATTGAGTAAATGAGAGTCAGGATTACAATCTAGTTCGGTATGTCTGTGAAGCTTGAGTACTGAAGCCAAATATTCAGATAACCAGTTAACATAAAGGTAGATAGATTCTGCTCACATTTTGGACACATAATTTAAGTCTGATTTTGGAATAATACTTTCGAAGAACAGTGCTACAGAATTTCACCAACTAATCAACATACAGATAACACACAATGTGATTTAATTGTACACAATATGATGTAAGCCAAAATAACTAGACTTTTGTATAAATCATGTTCCCTTTAACATGCTTACTTCCTCCAACAGAAGCCTGATACAACTTAAATAGTTGGTACTTTTTTTATGACTCAAGAATTAGAGTTATTTTTATCTTAATTACAAAAAAATATTTTTTTCCTCTCAGTTCCATCATGTCAAAAATTTTAGTATTTAGTATTTAGTATTTAGGGAATACTTTTGGTTAGGTTTAGAGCTCCCTGAACAGAATAGAAATATAATCTATTTACTTTTTGAGATTTATGAATGTTTTCTATAGAGGCTTGTGAATATAGCAAACCAGTTAGAACAGTAAATACAGTAAAGTCCTTATATGCACTATTTTAAACCTTAGAATCCAGTGAAATCTGTTGTCTCATTTCAATATTTCTTTTTTATGATTTAATTCACTATAAAGTAATGGTCTTTCCCTCCCTTTCTGTGCTCTCTGATGTATTCAAAAATCTTTGAATCATTCTAAATATCACAATTTCTGATATTAAAATATTTTAAACCCCTCATTTTATTAGTAATGACAATTCCTAATTGGCCAAGTGCTTATGAAGCCAGATTTGTTATCATGTAATCAGTATTGAAATCTAGATGGAGTACCACTACCAACTTCTGCACGTAGGGAGACCTCAATCCCCTTGCTACAATTCATGTTTTGGAGACATAGGGCAAATTACTTAAACTCACTAAGCCTCAATTTCCTCATCTGGAAAATAGTGATATATGACAATATTGTAGTGATTTAAGAAGATGATGTATGTCCAGGTGCTTAGACAGAGCTTGGCACTTGTAATTTCTCAACAAATGATACTTATAACAACAATAAAAATAATGACAATAGTAACAATAAATTATTTATTGAGTACTTACTATGTAATCATAATTATGAACAAGAATCTGGAAGATATGAAGCATAAGACTCAGTTACAGCACTTGAAGTGCTTATGTACTATAAGAAACAAATACTAGCAACACAATAAACACAGAATTTGGCTTATGAGAGGTATGGAGTGAGGTTTGGACTTTGCTCCTTACTAAAATTGGGTGTATCTCTTAGGAACTGTACTTGGCTGCTGATAAAAAAAAAAGCTGTGCCCAAATTACTGGTCGATAGAAACTGAAGCAATACATGGGTATTGTAAACCACTAAATATTGGGACAATCTGTAAACAGCAGTAAATTAATACATGTGGCTCATCATGTTGTAGTTTACAATGGTAATTCCTTCATTCTCATTACTTTATAGGAGGGTTTGACAAGCTTTTTTCTTCTGCAAAGGGTCAGGTAGGAAACATTTGAGGCTTTGTAGGCCAAGAGGCAAAATTGACGATATTATGTAAGTACATCTGTATAATTTCCATGCTTTGCAAATTATACTTTTTTTTGTTTTTTTCCCAACCAATTAAAAATGTAAAAATCATATTTGGTGAGACATAAAAAATAAATGGTGAGCCATATTTGACTCATTGGTCTTAGTTTGTTGACTCCTGCTGTATAGAATTATTTGGTTATACCACAGTTCATCTCTGAAATCTGTTGATAAATATTTGAGTTGTTTTCCATTTGGGGAACATTAAAATAACACAGCCACAGACATTCTTGCACATGCCTTTTGAAGAACATGTGCATGCATATTTGTTTGGTATACACCTAGGAGTAGAACTGCTGGGTCACAGGGTAAGTATACATTCAGCTCAATATTTCAGATGGTTTTCCAAAGTGGTTGTGTGAATTTGCACACCACAAGCAACATACGAGTCTTTACTGCTTCAAAATCTTGCCAAGAGTTGGTATTTTGTGTCTTTTTATTTGGACATTCTAGTGAGAATTGTAATTGTTTGTCTTTAGCACTTTCCAGGTGATTCTAATATTCAGCCAAAATTGAAAACCTCTGCACAACTATTGCTTATCCCTTATTAGGCTGAACCACATGAAATTGCTTTATTTGAAGGTTTTTAAAATGGTCAAACATTGGCTATTTCATATGGTTGAAACTAACATCTTTTTCATATCTTATTTATACTAAAAATAAAACATTTAGAATGCACATCATTGGGAAAGATATTAAAGACTTGATTAAAGACGAAGTTTTTTTTTTTTTTTTTTTTTTTTTTTTTGAGACGGAGTTTCGCTCTTGTTACCCAGGCTGGAGTGCAATGGCGCGATCTCGGCTCACCGCAACCTCGGCCTCCTGGGTTCAGGCAATTCTCCTGCCTCAGCCTCCTGAGTAGCCAGGATTACAGGCACGCGCCACCATGCCCAGCTAATTTTTTTGTATTTTAGTAGAGACGGGGTTTCACCATGTTGACCAGGTTGGTCTCGATCTCTAGACCTCGTGATCCACCCGCCTCGGCCTCCCAAAGTGCTGGGATTACAGGCTTGAGCCACCGCGCCCGGCCCAAGACGAAGTTTTAAAATTAACAACAGATTTCAGTGACTTCTATACTTTAGTATCACCTAGACATTTAAAAGCTTGGAAACAGACCAACGGTTTTCACCCTCAATGAAGACTGGAATCTCCTGTGGGTTTTTAACACCTTGAGTGCCTCTACCCAAACCCTTAAAAGCCCTAATTCTAAGGTAAAGCTTAGCAATAGCTATTTGTAAAAGGCTGACACACAGCCAAGGTTGAGAACCATTGATATTACCTGTCCTATGGCTTTCTTTCACATTTATTCAATCTAAGAAAATACTTGACACTTTGGTGATTTTATATACATAAAGTAGGGAAGCACCTGGATGTCAGTTCTTTCCAGATTTTAGAATGCTTAGCTGCATATTAGGTTAGAAAATTCTTTTTCCCATGGAAATTATGTCTCACTGAATGGATCTCTGTCTACTGTAACTAAAAAATAGGCTTAGGTTTGATTTGTACACAGCTCCATGGACTCAGAATTAAAGTATCATCAAGAGCATCTAATGATTACATGCAGGCTCTTTAAAAGTACCTATACACATAGTATTATATTACCCAATAGGAAGACGAAACATGTAATTAGTGACCAGAACAAGAGGTATGCATGCATACACTTAGAAACAAAATTGATTTTTTTTTTTTTTCTGACCAAGAGAGACAAAAACGTCTAAGTAGTCATCATAGGAAGAATCCGATTTTTGTACATCCTTATTTTACAGAGATTAACGTTATATACGGGTGACTGGGTGAATGTGGTATCAAATGCATTTCTGAACTCAAGGTCTTTAAAAGTCTTAATCCAGTCTTTAGCCAGATTTATTCCCGAGGCTATTCCCTTGCCCCTTCCAGCCATAACTGTATCCGTATTTCTACATGCGGGGAAAAAAAATGTCTGGAAACTTAATTTTTACCAGCTGTCGACTTGTATTGCTGTCCACGTGATTCCCTTTATCCTGTCTGCTTATAGCATCCCCAGCACCTATAGTTAGGACGTAGGTTCAGAAGTTGAAGGAACACTGATTCTTAGGCACTGTTAATTATTAGGCCCTACCCCAGCTGTCAACAGGCTCCAAGGCTAGGCAAACTGAAAGCCTCCTACCCAGGAAGCCAGGCAGGCTTTCATCTGACCTCCTCCGGGGCAATCCTGGTTTCCAGATTTTGTTCCTAACAACCCCTTGGGGATGTTGCCTATTGGGGATTTTCAAGCCACTTTTCCTCCCCTACACCCCATGCCAAGTATTTAGCCACCAGAACCACCCTGTAGGATCAGAAGACAGCTGTATCAGCGGCGGAATTTCCCCACAAAGCCCATACATCCAGAGTGCGAAGGAACAAGTTTCAGCCTCATCCTGGGCAGCGCTCTCTGGCCCCGGTGGAGAACCATAAGCGGCCGGTGGCTCTGCTCTCCCCACTAAATGGGTGGTTCAGGAGGCCAGGGGGCGGTGCCGGCTGCCGAGGCCAGCGGAAGAGCCCGGGGAAGCTCATCACACAGCCGAAAGCCACCTGCCCACCTCACCACACCTGCTAGGGGTCAAACCCCTCATAATGGACTGGGAAGAGCTCTATCACGGGTCCCTACTCTTACCACCGAACCGATCTCAGCGCACGGCCTCCTGGGAGATGTAGTCCGCACCGCTTCCCTTGACCCATACCCCCACCCCCGGCACCTCGAGTCCCCTCACAACTTTCTCGGCCTGGCCAGCTGAAGCTGGAGGTGCCGTCGGATTGTGGGGACGAGACGGCGCCCCGCGGAGGACTCGAGGTGCTCTCCCGAGTCCGAACGGAGGGAACTACACTTCCCAGGCCGCCCTGCGCGCGCCGAGCCAGGAGCCGGCTGCCTCGCTTTGCGTGACCGCGGCAGGTTGGTCCTGGAGCTGATGAGCGCAGAATATTTAGGCGAAAGCGAGAGGAGGGGGGCGTGCGGGGCAGGAGGAGTACCTCGCCAAGAAAATTATGCATGTGTTAGGAAAGCTCTGAGAGAATGGCTGTGGAAGGTAAGGGACGCTTGGGGCATTTTTAAGCTCCCTCTTAACCCGCGCACCCCAAGCCATAGATCCCCGAGGAAGCTTGGCGATCGTGGGGGAGGCGAGGAAAGCGGGTGGCGGAGAGCGGGCCCCTTCCTCCTTCACCTCTTGGCACTCACCTGCGCCGCCAAGGCCAATAGGCGCTTTAATTCAATTGCTTTGGAGAGACTGGAAGGGTAGGTGCGCAAGACTTTGAGGTAGAAGGTGTGGTGAAGAGTGTCCCTGAGGCGAAACGATATCCTGGAAATGGGGGGAAAGTCGGAGGATCGGGCACGAGGTTCTGGCCCCGAGATGCCCTTTTTCGCTGCCTCCTCCCGCCGGAGCAGACTGGGTGGCCCCGGGGCTGGGGATGCTTGGTTGGCCCCCTTCACGTGGGAGACGTCCCCGGGCCAGGTGCGTCCTTCGGAAGCTTGGACTGGGAATGGGTCGAGGGCCCTTCGTCCTGTGCACCTGCACCCAGCAGCGGCGGCCGCAGATATACCCAGAGGGTGGAGGTATCCCTACACCTGTCTCTGCTTTTACAGCCAGCGCCCCGGGCTTAGCAAAGTTTACAGGCAGGAAATGTAATCAACCAGGGAAAAGAAGTGCAACAACCTCTTCGATTTGGGTGAATCCTTTTTTCTGAAGACCACTTTCTTTTTACAGTCTTGAGCTTCGGCTTTGCAGTTTTGACCTTACAGCCCTGCCTCCCTTGAACTTCCTGGTTGAAAGCAGCGCCGGGCTGCTCGTGAGGGGACCTGAGTTTTTCGTTTCAGATTCTCTTACCTTGGAACACAAGCTTCCTTGTTTAGGGTAGTTTCTGAAGAAGGAAAAAAAAAAAATTGTGGACCAGAAGCGTTTGTGATGTCACATTAGAGGTCAAGCTGTGCCTGAATGATGAAATGATTGTGTGACGAAATGGGAGCCTACATTCACCTACAGAATTATGGTTCCTGAGTGCGGTCAGGTCAAAGGGGAACTGAGGTAGGGAGAGGAGGGCATGCCTGCTAGCTGCTTCAGGCGGCTTGCCAAGGGGAAATGAGCCTGTTCCTTGTAGACTAGAGACAGAGACTAGAAGAAACCATAAGGGCTGGCTTGCTCCTCCCTCTCCTCCCTGCCCCAGGAGAAACAAACTGAACTAATCTGACTCTCCCTCCCCTTATAATGACTGTCTTAACAACCCGAAGTAGCAACAACCCAGCTCCTACACTCAGCACCCATAAATTCTAAAAACTCTTTGCATTTGTTTTATCTCAGGTTCAGAGATCCACAGCCAGCCACTTCCAGCTTTCCTAACTTTATTAGCAAAAATGAAGTCTTCTCTCTTACAACCAAGATTTTTCTAGGTTTTCTTTTCTGTGCAAATGTACCAGAAGGGTGACAATCTGGCTTTTTTTTTTTTTTTTGCATCGTTACCATTGATAGTCAAGACTTCAGATCAGATGCCAAAACAAAACAAAACAAAACAAAACAAAAAAGCCGAGATAAAGTTCATCTTGAGCTTGAGACCAAGGATATGTTGAACCACTCCTGAAGTATCCCTTCTATGTCAGTATCCCTTCAGATGACACTGATTATGATCTCTCCTCTTCACTACTCCTGTGTCCCCAAGAGAGGGACACTCCCCCTTGTTGCTAGTTCACACTGCTCTTGAAAACAATTTCTTGTTCACTGTAAGAAGTATAAATTTGTCCTATTTCTTGCCTGATGGGCAATTACGCCAGTGAAGCCAGACTTTATGAAAACAAGAACTTAGGAAGGGAGTACATGTGGACTATGGAGAGTTTATTTTCTGGTGACTTATTTGGTTAAAGTACCTCTCTAGTAAACAGGTGATCCTGACTTTGATTCACAATGAGGTCTCAGATAATGAATTTTAATCTTTAATTGCAAATATTCCTATTTTTGGTCTTTGCAAAGATGTCAGCCTAGATCAGTCCCTTCCTAGTTACTCCTGCTTGGTCTTTCAAGTCTCAGAGAAAATATCATTTCCTCTGGGAACTTGTCCTAGTCCTCCTTTTCTTTCTGCCTTCTCAGCAGTCTTTCCAGTCTATGGGAGGTGCCTCCTGCTTACACTTATCTTAACATTTAACATACTTAACCTGTCTCTTACTAGACTCTAAGCCCCTTGGGGGTTTGACTTGGACTTTATATTTTCAGTAGCACAGTACTTGGCCCATAATAGATACTCAATGCTCATGAACTGCATGGCAAATATATTCATGGAGCTTTTGTAACTGGTTCTATAAGGGTAAATGGGGCTTTCTTGGAAGCCTAAATGCCATACAATAAGAGATGTCTGACAGATTTGAAGACAGACTTTTAAAGGAAGTGTTCATCTCTTCAGTCTTTTATCTTGATGCCTCAAAAATCTTTTAGAGCAGCAGTTTATATCTACTGCTGAGTAACATTGTCTCTGGCACGTTTGGGATATGTAGGAAGTGCTGCTGGGGGCTGCTATTGGTATTTTGGGCTTGTGGCCAGAGATAATAAATGTCCTGCAGTGCACTGCCATCCCATATCAATTTGCCAAGCCATGGCAAGTAATGACCAGTTTACTCAACTCATTGAGAAATGCTGCTTCAGAGAATAAGGAGTTTTGCCAGAGGAACTGAAATAGAAAATACAGTATGGATTACTTAACAACTAAGCTGTAGTTTTCATCTCTGGAAAAAAAATGGGCTCACTCCTGGTTACTTGCTGGGAACATTGTGAGGATTAAATAAAGGAGAGGCCTTCTAGAAGGATGTCTGGAACCTGGATCCTAAGTAAATATGACTTATACTCTCATCCCTCTTAAGAAAAGGTATACTATTTGGCATGTGTTTCATATCCTGAATTTTCACGTATTCATGCCAGCCAGTTTTTCTAATTAGTAACAAATTAGAAGGTTTTTACTATGTGTAACATTTTGCTTAAGTAAACTTGAACTTGTAAAAGTGTTAATAGCAAGTAGTTCACTCATTCATTTCGCTGAACCTGCAGCTGTGTGTTTAAGATGAAAAAGAGGTGCTCTTTGTTTATTGTTCTGTGGCTACTTTGGGTTATGTTTTCTTCTCAATTTAATTGCATCACCCTACTTTTGTCTACTAGCCTGATTGTGACCCATGTTTTGCATTTATGGGCAGCTTATATTACTCTGCCACAGAAAAGTACTTATAGTACTCCAGCCACAGGACAGAGTACAACCTTATGTTCTGTATTTGAATTAGGATTATATTGGCATCCATTGCCTTAAAAAAAAAAAAAAAAAAAAAAACAGTGTCTTGTGAAGCAAATCAGCAGGAGTAGGAACTAGGACCTCTAGGAAAGAGGTACCAGAGACCCCAAACTAATCCATTCTCTATGGACAGACTGTGTAGATGGTTGCACCTGCTGATGTTTACTAACAGAAATGGGTTGCAATATTATTCAGGAAGAAGAAAAAATTGGATTCATTAGGGACAGTGTCATATTCATCTCTGTATTTCAGGGATGGTGCCTGGCACTTTGGAGGCCCACAGTCATTGTTTCATGAATGACATATAAATGCATGAGTCCCCAGAGCTAGAGAAGGGTTTTTTACTCCTCACCCCCAATTCCTTTTTTCACTTTATCCTCAGAGGTTTATGAAAAAAGTATGGAGAATGGACATTGTACATGGTAATTTCTAGTCCACGTCTGACAGAATAGCACCTCTCACATGGCAGAAAAATGACTTCCAATATTGTTTAACACTCACCTCTCTCCCCAAGAAAAGCATGTTTAATGGAAGGCCATGTGCTCTTAATGACATCTATATTAAGGGATCTGAATTTTCCATCAAAAATGAACAAATCGGTTTACCAAAATCTTCTAATAAGTCATTCAGTGCTCAAGTTCTATGTTTTTCTCCTGTAGGAGAGGGAAGCAACTACCCATCACCATTAATATTTTAAGGCTAAGTAATAATAACAGTGACTAGGAAAATGGGAAATGAGATAGTGTCAAACGTTTGTGACAAATAGAAGCAGTCATGGTAAACACTGGGTTTTGGCAGCCCCATAAATGATGACCCTTACCCAACTTGAATTCAGAACTGCATTACAGAGTAAAAGGAGTCACATGGGAAATAAAAAGCATCAATTTTATCACAAGGCTATGGTGGGTTATTTTTTTCTGACTTTGGGTTGGAGGGTAAGTAGGCTTGCTGATATTGTACCTAGCAGTGAACTTACTCATCATAGGGGTGCCTCCCTCTATACTAGTGGTCCTCAACCTTTTTGGCACTAGGGTTCAGATTTGTGGAAGACAGTTTTCCCATGGAGGGGTATGGGGATGGTTTGGGGAAGAAACTGTTCCACCACAGATCATCAGGCAGGAGTGGGCAACCTAGATCCCTCACATGTGCAGTTCACAGTAGGGTTTGCACTCCTATGAGAATCTAATGCCTCCGCTGATCTGACAGGAATTGGAGCTCAGTGGCAATGCTTGCTTGCCCACTCCTCACCTTCTGTTGTGTGGCCCAGTTCCTAATAGGTCACAGACTGATACCCGTTTACAATCCAGCGGGTGGGGACCCCTGCTCTATATCACTGACAGGCTGGAGAGCAGAGAGAACATGGGCTCCTGCAGCAGGCAGGGGGGACCCAAAGGAAGAGATGGAGAACCTATGCTTTGTGCCTTTTCACAGACTTGCTCATCAGACAGTTGACTTCTCTCCTGAGGAGGACTCAGAGGGTGAAGAGGGAGACCAGAAGTGTAATTCTAATGGATTTCCCTCATAGGACACAAGAAGCTCCCTCCTGCCCCTGTGTGACTCTCTTGGTGCTAGCTCACCTGGGCTTTCCTATCTACCTTTTCTTGCTGAGAACATCATTTGAATGTACCTCTTCTACTGGTGGCATTTTCTAAGGGCAAGAACTATATCTCATGTCTCATCCATGAAGCTTGAATGAATAAATAGAGACAAATGAAGGAATGAGTGGGTTTATGGCTGCTTTTGATTTCCACAGTAACTCTCGTACACACTTAATGAGAACTTCCAACTGTGTTCCTCTACAGAGCAGATGTTATGAAAGCAGTGAGACCATGGACACGTTTCCCTCATAGGTACTTATCCCTGCAGCAGCATCACAGTGTGATTGTTAAACTAATTACTCCCTCATTCTCTCCCATTCACTTATTCCCAAGTGTCTTTTTTTCTTATTTTTATTGTGTTCTTTAGACCACCAAATCTGACTTTCCTGCACCAGCAGTTTCTTTTGTTGTTTTAGGAAGGAGAATGGCGGCTAGACGTTCACCATGTTCACCATTGAAAATTCCTGTCCAGTGACTGTGTGAACAAGAATTGGGTCCTCCAGGTTTCAAAGCTAGTTTGAAACTTGCTTTGGCAGTGGTTCTTGCCACCCCCATCTCTTATGTTGCCCTCTTAGCTAGTTCAGACAGGGCTTCAGTCTAATTGTACAGATGTTTTGCCTAGCCCAGCCCTTCCTAATTCCGTTTATCTCACCCTTTCTTTCTCATCTGCCTAGCTGTTCTCTCATGCCTGATGAAACAAGGGCTGGTGCTGAGAAGTGGATCTGGGAAATCTTTGCTGGTGTAGCTGTGTTCTGTAATGCTGAGTCACACTGGATGATGGGGCGACATGTTATAAGGGTGGGGGGAGCTGGGGATCTGAAGCCCATGCTTGAAAACTGGTGAGTGAGTGTCAGCTGTTGTGCATTTAATTAATTAGAAGAAAGAGGGAATGTTGCAAATGCTCATTCACTGGCATTCAAGCAGGCTGTGCATTTCTGTTGATAAACAGTTGAGTAGCACCCATGTACAAGGAACTCTACGAG